CTGCTGCTGCAGATCGGAGTGGGTCATAAAAATGCTTACAGGAGGGTTTTTTTAAATGTCAATTGTATGCAAATACCAGGAGCAGCCCACAGTATGTACTTTACAATAAAAAACGGCCACAAGGGTGTTTTTTTTTCTTCTTCTTCTTCACATAATGGAAACTACACCAAACACATTCTGTAAATATTCTGCACTCGGATGTGTGTATAAATGAGGTGCCTGATGGGAGTGTACTATGGGTACGCACTTTGTGACTTTATGATTGCAGTGATGTTTATGTGTACATTTGAAAATAACTACTTCTATGTGAGGTGAAGGGCTGACAGTGGAGTGGTTAGATAATTAGTTTCATATCTGCTTGTATGTAGGTCCCAGGTTTGAAACCACCTACCAAATGACCCGCTTCCATGGCAACCTGTAATGGGAGTTTGGGGGGGACACAAGCTGAATGTGATTTCTCAGTTCTGTGTTAGATTCATCCACTGCCATAAACATCACCCATAACAACAGAATGCCAACGTTGAGCCTTGATCTTGTCCGTCATAGTCTGAGGCAGCCTCTACAGACACTGACCTTTTGTGCAGAGATAATTGCATTCTGGGTTTTTTTTTTAATCCAACCCTATACTTATAGGTATTTATGTCTTCAAAGAATCTGTAAGTTATTTCAAAATTATCAGGCTGATCTTTACTAAAGAATTAGCTGCTCTTAAGTCGCCTGTAAATTAGGTGGATTAAGTGTAAACATATTATTTTTTATTTTCATCTTGGCTTGATTAAATGCATGACCTTGTTTTAAATCCCTTATTTACCAGAAATAAAATTTGATGCAAATAGTACTGTAGAAGTCAGATCCTTGCAGCGCTTCTTTGTTGTAAATCAGTTATTTACATTTTTTTTTTCATTACAGCAAATGGTGATGAGCCTGCGGGTGTCAGAACTACAGGTGCTGCTGGGCTACGCTGGCCGCAACAAACACGGACGCAAACATGAGCTGCTGACCAAGGCCCTCCACCTGCTGAAGGCCGACTGCAGCCCCGCCGTACACATGAAAATCAAAGAGCTCTACAGAAGACGCTTTCCTGCTAAAATGGTGTCCCACTCAGAGTTGGCCTTGTCTGGACCCCACCATCCTGCCACAGCTGGAATGGTCGGAGGAGGGGGCGCAGCCCTGCCTGCTGGACTCACACAACTGGCCTATGAGGGTCACGCGGGTCATGGTGGAGCCCCGTCACCTGCCGCCCTCCTGCCTCTGTCACTGCTCGGCCCTGGGAAGCATGAGCTGACTGGGCTGTCGCACCATCTACCCACGTCAGCTTCACTGCATCCGGTCCATCCAGATGTCAAGCTCCAGAGACTGCCCTTCTACGACATGCTGGACGAACTGATCAAGCCCACAAGTCTAGGTAGGAAAATGTGTCTTTTTTTTTTTGTGCGGTTCATAATTATTTAAATTTCTTTGTCGTGATGACATTTATCACCATTATAGTCCTACACAGACAGACATAACCAGACGACTCTGAGCCTCTTATCGAGCGTGATGACCGTCTTAGGATTCTGGGAAACAAATACGCAAATACGTATATGAAAATGTCTTAATTTTCCTACATTAGCATTTTAATGGAAGGGGAGAACGAGTCGTAATAAATTTGCCTACAGATTTATGTACAAACAAAACCCCTGCAGCTCCGTCATCAAACCATCTCCTCATCTTCTCTAATACTCTCTCACTCCAGCTATTACACTGGAGTGAGACGATACACTTCCTCCACTGTCTGTGTACACCCTCTCTCTCTCTCTCTCTCTCACTCTCTCTCTCTCCCCTCCCCTCCTCTTTTGTCTTCATGGCCTCCCTTAAATTTGCATTAAAGGTGAGAGAGAGAGAGGTAGAGAGAGGCGAAAACATGAGTGATGGAGTGAGTCTGAGTGAATGGGTGGGTGACTGACAGAAGAATGCAGTTTGATTTGTTAGTTGAAGTGATGGCCTCTCCAGACTAATAGTAAAATTCTGCACAAATGAGATTTTCCCCTGAGAAAAGATGAAGACATTTTTGCCATACTCCACATAATCCACATCCATATTTTCGTAAAAACCAATATTCAGTCATATGTTTTTTTCCTAAATACTCCACATAATCCACATCCATATTTCCGTTTTTTTCCTACCTGGTTACTTTTATATGTATTTCTTAAAACATAACTAACTCTAACCTTTAAATCTTTAATCTTTCTGGTGTTTCAGGGTTTTTTTTTTCTTGGTTTCATGACTCCTGCTAGTTACCGCTGTGTTTACAGCACCCCCTGCAGGAATTGTAGAGAAAATGTTTTATCTATCTATATATAAAAATTGTTTTTCATTTACTACAATTTTTTTTCACATTAATGCATATTTATTTGGGTGGCCACAGTCATAGAAAATACTATTTAAAAAATACATATTGATATGTTTTAATCATTTAATGAAAAAACAAGCAAACCAAATGAAATGGTTAAGAATTCCAATGTATCTAACTGAATTAAATAAGCCTGACTTAAATCATGTGATTGAGTGAGCCGACCAGCTCAGAATTCAAAAAAGATTTTTTTCTACAAAAATGTTCCTTCGCCGTGCTTTGATGTGAGGCAGGTGAACCTGTTCCTTCAGCAACTCTGACTCATATTTAGTACTAAGACTATTCAGTGCTATGTTAAGCAGTAACAGGTTTTGAACATTCCATCCTGTACACAGGGAGACAGTAGACAGTCCTCAGGACCAGTGTGGTCTGGTCCGTTTCACTGCTGTTGGTCAGTGCTCTGGCAGCAGCGTTCTCAACTGCAGGCTGCAGCTGCCTGATTGCAGTAAAATGGAGCCTTGGTTTTTGGCAGAGTTGACGAAATGAATTAGTGTCAAAACCATGAAGAGATTAGTGTGTTTTCCTGGTATCTCAGTGTGTGTCTTCATGCAGGTGTGACTTTTTTATCAACACATTTTTTTGTTCTTATCCAATGTGTTCCTGTACAGTCAGACTTTTTTCCCCTATATATATAATGGACATTTAATCAGTTAAAAAACTAAAACTGAAATCAGACTTGTTCACACGTGCTATGCATTAGACAGCGACACCTGATGCCAGTGTAGACAAGTGTCACAAAAAATCTCCTGACCTTCCGGGGTCTGACTGTTGGGGCAGTGTTTCCCAGTACAAGGTCATGGACAGAAGAAGAAACCTGGCCGACACATTTTTAGATTTTTACTCTGATCTCATACTTGAAGATAGAATATACATATATATTAGAGCCTTGATAGATGGATGTCAAATATATGTAAGGTTAAAGGTCACCTGTATTTTCAGATTGACTCTGAGAACATGTCCTTAGAAATCCCAACAACCCGAATATATTTGAATAAGAGTATTTTCCATCCCTCTTTTGACCACATTGTCTTTGTCCTTCTAACTGTCTTTGTTGGATCGTATCAGTAAGAAGAAGAAAGGGTCAGAACAAACTAGTAGACGGTCTGTCGGCTCTTTTGTTACAGCAGCAGCAGCTTCACTGGGTGAACTCCAGGCTCAGCCTCATTATTAGCCCCCTCTTCCTGACAGAACTATACCTCCCGTCTCATTATGGATACCACTGTAGTGCACATGTATTATACATGATTTAATCACCATACCTGCAGGAATAAGATGCAAGGCCATTTAGCATCTGATGAGCTTCTGGTGTATAATGGATTGTGGCTTGGGAATATAGCCTTAGAAATTCATACAATGGTGTAGAAAATTTTGCTCTGGTCTCGATTCAGGATTTTCACAATAATAGTGCGCTCACTAACAGACATTGCAAGTCACTGTTTTTCCCTCCTTACGGCCTCAAAATGTTAAAGGCTCAGCAGAAAAGTGCAGTATATTCAAATGATGTCACACAAAATTGAAAAATTACGTTTTTATTATACCAAAAAAAATGTTGCGGTTGTCTTGAAAGTGTGTGGCAGGCCTCCCCCAGGGGAGGAAACAGAGGAAGTATGGTAATAATTAACTTAAATTAGGATTTTATATGGACTGGTGTTGGACATAAGTTTTTTTTCTCATTTGTTGTAAAGAAAAAATAAACCAAACCTTTTTTTTACATGAAACTGAAATATTACGTGCACTTGTATTGTGCACTTGTAATGTATTTATTTTTTTGCTTTTTAGAGTGAAGCCGAACATGTTGGACATGAATAAAACATATAAAATTCAAAATTCAGTTTGTTGGTGTTTGCTCCAAAAACTAAAAATGTGAAAATAACCTTTACCTAAAGATCAACAACACTAAACAGCAGAATAGAACTTCTTCCCCAAAAGGTTGCATAAACATATCATTTCAATGTTGATTTCTATTTAGGTATAATTTTATATCAAAATGTGAAACAATTCTACATTCCTTCAAGAGATGTTCCTCACGGTCCAAATGGAAAGTCCTTGACACATACAGCGTTGTGAGTGTAATCTGCCGTCTCCTTCTACAGTACATCGTCCTTTATTTGACAGATAGTGTCACTGAATCCTGGAAGTTCTTTTATCACATTCACTCTCATGTCAAGTAGAACAGGATTAACTGGAGACGGTTTTCCAAAACATTTACTTTCCTTAAAACCAAATAATATCCCGGTGCCTGATTTACATTGGTCCTTATGTAATCAGCTGCGTATTTTCAACCATAAACACATTGGCTGGAGTCAAACAAAGACGTAACACAAAAGAATTCTGTCTGATCTGAAGTATAAACACATCAAACAGAATGGCTGCCATAATTAACACGCACACATTTTCATTGTCTTTGAAGCCTGTGTTGACATCTGTCTTGAACCTTGATAGTACCGTATTTTCCAGACTTTTACTGGTACACAAGCCTAGAGTGCCCTCTAGTGGCTGTTAGTGTGGAACTAACAACCAGTGAAATTATATATTTTATTATATGTGTCGCACCTGAGTATAAGTTGTAAACCCAGCCAAAGGATGAAAACAAGTGCGACTTATAGTCCAGAAAATACAGTCTGGAAAATTCTAAATGTTTGAGGATTGGGTTTGCAGTATGTGAGAACCTCAGATGTTCATTGAGTTTGTTCTACCAGAACGTTGCTCTGCTAAACTCAACATGAAAAACCCAACAAAGTATTTGACTTATAGATACGGCTCCTTCGACACCCAGACTGTATACTTAATGCCAGCCTGTGCTTCATGTAACCCCAGTGGAATGCTTTAATTAGCACTGGTGCTACATAACTGCACGCCCTCTTAAAGGATAATTGCTATAGTCAGGAGAAGGAGAAATAACAATTCTGGAAAGTTTTTTTGTTTTGTTTTTTCCATGCAGTTTTTTGGGTGTACATCTGTGTAGCACTGTAATTTAAAAAAATGTAACGAGTCTTTAAATGTCAAAAATTAAAATAAAAAAGAAAACAATTGTTGGCTGGTTGGAGTTCGTTTGGTTGGAGCTAGATCAAAGAAACTTTTTCCGCCTTTTATTTTACAGTCCTATTTTAAAACAGCTTCAAATAATTTAGATCAATCACTAGATGTAATAATCCTTAACGAGTGGAGACTCCCCTCAGCGTTCCAAATTTCGTAAAAAATGTCTATATTTAATCTGTGCAGGATTGAGAAGCAAATTCAACTGGGCCATATCTATACTTCTCTATTTTAGTTTGAAATTCAAACATTTTTTTTAGGGGCCTGGGGGGTCGGGGGGTTTATGTGTGGATAGGAGACAGTAATCCAGGATATCTGCTCATCTGTTCCTACCACCATGACGTCGCCTTTGTTAATTCGCTATGCTACATGACCTCATTACTGGAGGATATAACGACTCCATCTGCAAGTGTACAGTACGACATGCATATCCAAAAAAAACCAAAACAATCTGTGCTGCCCCTTTTTTTTGCAGCTGTTATTAATTTAAGTAAGGTACAATGCTGCCGCTCTAGAGACCTGTGTACCAGTATCTGCTACTCCTGTACTCCTGTTACTTTCACACTGAGAGCCGCTAGAGGGCGCTCTAGCTAGTGTGCGCTCTAGCTAGTGTGCGCTCTAGCTAGCGTGCGATTTATGTTTTTCTTTTTTTCTTTTTCATTGTTTTTTTTTTCTTTGGGTTGGTGCGACTTATAGTCTAGAAAATACAGTAAAAAATACCAAACATTTAATTTAACGGTGTGAGACTTATAGTCCAGAAAATATGGTAAAAAAACAACAACCAACATTTAATTTAACGGTGTGCTGCAGCTATGATCTATGATCCATCCTAGTAACAAAGACACAGTAAAGTAGTATTAAGTTCACTGACAGGTGATGTCCTTGGGACAGTGTGTGTTTGTGTGTGTGTTTCTTTGTCTTTGGCCGTACCAAAGCTCAGAGGGAGAGGCAGCAGCGCCACTAACACTTTAATAAACTGCAGCTGTGCTTTGTTCTGCTGCAGACGGACTGTGGAGCGGAGGAACATTCTCTGAGGCTGAGCTCACACCTCTGCTCATCAAACTGATCTGAAGTCACCAACAGGGATTTCTATTGTTTTTTTATTTACGCACAGGTTCCACTTTAGTAAAAACGTTCATATTTTCCATCGCTGTTGCCACCGGTGGATATGTTGGTGGTCACCTTCTCACCCCCACACTTCTCCCACCCTCCCCCAATATTTCCACTGTGACATACTACACAACGTCTGGTTTTCATTGCAGCCATAGGAATAAATATATAAATGTACAACAGTAATTTGACGAGTGTTCTAAGACGTGTGTGCAAACATGAGTGTAAAGGATTCAACAATTATGATTTCTTTTTTTTTTAATTACAGCTTTTAATTCTCTGTGTAGACTGTTATTAACAATTACCTGAGGAATGGTTCAGTCTGTGGTCACATTCATTTTTTTTATGCTTAAATTTTTTTTTTACTTTCATTGAAAAGACTAAATAATAGAACTGTATTTTAAATTAAATATCACTTTTTTTCTCTTTTTAATTTTATATGTCAGTTTAATAGTTTCATCTGTTACAGAATGCCAACATAATAGGACATTTATTATCTGTCTTCATTTCCATTAGGATGGAGATTATGTGCCAAGCCGACAAAGCAAATAATTACAATGTCTTTAGGATTGCCGTTTAATGAGATTAAAAGTAAAAAAGAAAAATACTGACTGCCTACATAAAGAAAAGACTTTTAAGCTTTGGGTGCCTATAAAGCTCTATAAAAAAACAAAAAAAACAAATGGTTCTTCTAACCGCGGTTATACGAGGGAATTCTGTCCAATTTTACATTTGGCCGAACTGCCAGAAAAAGCCTTCATTACTTCAGTATGTGGTTGTTCCCCAGTTAATTGCGTAACATTACTTTGGTTTTGATGGAACAACACAGACGTAGCAAGAAAAAACATGGACTTGTTTGTTTGAGCAGGTGTCGTGTTTACAGGCTGTAGA